TCAGCAAAAGACAGACTGACTCCATGGAAATTTTTTTAGAGAAATAATGATAAAATTACGAATTATTTGCTATACTATTGATATTTATTCACTATTCGTTGACCAAATGCATGCATATCAATTTACTGCCGAGTAGCTTGTCTAGATAAATTGTTACTTACAAAAATAAAGAAAAAAAGAAGAAAAAAAGAAGAAAAAAAAACCGTGAAGCTCGTGATGAAATAAAATGATTAATTTGCTATTTAAATATGTTTTAAGGGTTAAGGAAATTAAATGGATTCAAGGGCATTTCAAATTTCCAAGAATGATTGTTCTATAATTATTTAACAGCTTTTAAATAATTATAATTAGTTGGATAAATTTTTCCAACTATTACGTATTGTTTATTTTAATATTTTAATGCACGTATAAAATTTTCTATCTATATATAAGAAACATATTTTATAAGTATGATTATTAATATAATAAATATAATTGCTCAATGAATAAATATTTCTACTCAGATATTTGCTTAATAATGACGGAATTTTTTTGAAATTTAATTTTATTAATAAGTTAGAATTAGGCTTGTATATTTAGATTGAAAAATATATGGGTAATGCAAGATAATTCTATCCACTCATTAAATTATAGACTAATTGAAGTTAATTTTTTAATATGAGACTAATCGATTAATTGATGATTAATTATGTTTAATTTCAAACAAAAATGTCATTCGTAAAAAACGTCTTCTTTTTCCTATTTATTCTTTTTTCTCTTCCTTCTATTCCTATTTCCTCAACATTCCAGTCAATAATATATTCTTCCTAAAAACTTTAGTAACTTAATATTCTCGAAATCTATTAAAATCCAGCCTGACGAGTATTTATATTTATAAAAATGCAACATCTTCATTGGCAATAAAAGTTTCACTTTCAATCACGATATTAAGCGGTAATAAAAGTGAAAAATAAATAAATTTTCAAACAATGTTATATCATTCATAATTAAAAACTTTTACATTATTGTTGTTGGCTCCTTTATTGTCGCTAGCAATATTCTTTATTATTTATTGTACATTATATGCTATAAATGTTACGTACGGCAATGAAAAATCCTCTATTTCTCAATGTCTCGTTGTTATAAGCCTGTTTCCTTGTAGGTGTACGACTGATATGCTTACACTAACGTAGAAATCATAGGAATAATACTCTTGTACACAATATCGTAACCGTAGCAGAAACTAATCGTCATAATCATAAATCTCGACGCGTAGAAAAAAAAATATGTGAAATGCTCGGCAGCTACGGATGTCAGTGAGGCTCTCGTAAATCGAATTTACCGGTGCCTCTAGTTGTGCTCATATATATATATATATATATATATATATGTATGTATGTATGTATGTATGTATGTATTTATGTATGCGTGTATGTATGTATGTATGCATGTGTGTGTGTGTGTGTGTGTGAGTGTGTATGTATGTATGTATAGAGGATCGTATCACTGTGGAGTCGTCGGCGTAAGTTTTTATCGTTTTTTTGATTTCGCGTGAGAAATTTATGTCGTCCAGCTCCCGCGACGCTTTTTTGAACTCATAAAGCTTCCCGCGTGTATTTTCCAAGTTTGTGTTTTTAATGGCAGAAGCGTTAGAGGCATTTTTTTGGTTTCTAATTGAGAAGGCAAGGGAAATTGTTTCCTACAGTCGCGGTTCGTTGTAATTCTCATAATGTTTGTTTACATTTCTACCTTTATGTTAATTCGATAAAATTTTTCATTCCATAATTCTACACATTTGCATATTTATATATTTTTAGTGCCAACTTTGTGTTTGTATTTCGGACGAATTTTTTTCAACTTTATTAAAAAAAATTTATTTAATTTATAATTGGACGAGAAATTAATTTTGTACCACATTTTAATCTCGCTATTATAAATAATTTTAGATATAAATTTTATATGCCAACATTTTCACTACATCCACGGTACTTAATACAAAAAATAATTAATTTCATTTAATAAAGTAGATAAATAATATTGCGTATTTAAAAAATGAATATATTTTTATGTGCTCTCTACTAGTTTAATTACTGAGCGCAAATTCCAATTAAAAGAAATATGATTATTAAGCACGCAAGATGAACATTTTTTTTTTTTTATATTTCATTCATTCGCATGTGACTTGATTAAAATTTTAAATACATTCGATCACTGTATGATTACGTTTATTGAAAGTATTAATCTTTATTTTATCGCGAGATGTGCCCTACATGCGCTATCCGACTAAAATTCCCTTACCACAATTATCAACATTCAATTTATGCAATGTAATTCCTATTTGACATTTGTACATTTTATATTATAAATATGAATCTTAAAATACGTAAATAAAGAAAGAATACGTATTATCGAGTTTAATAAGTTTCCGAGTGTAGTCACGTAACTTGATGACTTAACACGATAACTTGATGTCCAATTACGGCCATTATTAATTATTGAAGGTATAACGATAAATATGATCGGTAAATATGATGAAAGTGAAGAGAGCTTCGCCATTTGCCAATATTTTACATTGAAATTAATTGTCTCGACTGCCCCATAAGCCGGGAATAGTCGGCTGCAGCTCGTCGTCCTGGCACTTGCCGACAGGCTAAATGCGCAAAGTTTACCAAGGCCCACAATCACATAGCGAAACAATATTCTACTCGTGGCAACAAAGACTCTCTCTCTCTCTCTCTCTCTGTGTGTCTCTACCTTCGCCCCTCCACGTCTGGTGCCACCACGTCTCGTATCGCTTTTTCCCTCTTGGGCGGGTGGACAAGTAGCGGGTCGTGTGAGGCGCGTCCATAGGACAAAAAGCCCGAAACTACCTAATGGGAATAGTTGCTGCCAACTTTCGCCGTGGGAAATTAAACGCACAGCGACCAGCGTCGCGTGCGCCCCTCGTGTTTAATGCAACGCGATTCCGCTATGGAATGCAGCTGGGCGTACACCACTTCCTCGTCCAGCCCCGTCCGCCGGACTCCTTAAACGAAAATAGTTTTGCGAATGCTCGGGCGAATTGCTTCCCCAGCTCCTGTCCTTTGATTTTTAAGCTTCGATTTTAGGAGGAGGCGTGGCGTATCGTTCTTCTTTTCGCTCGAGACTCGGCACTTTTTTTTTTCGTGTCTTTCATCCGCCCCAAGTGTAGTGGACGAGAGATTGTATTGAAAATTTTATTTACTTATGTGTAAATTATTCACGTAGTTTAAAATTTTTATAGATAAAGTAACGATAGTGTTGAATCCATCGCATAAAAGAGTCTATTAAAGCTATTTCGACTTGTGATTTGTCGGCTAAAGAAGTACGTTAATCCCTTTAGAGATATGGAAAATTAAATTATTGTTCAAACTAATGAATTCAACATACGGAGGGAAAAATTTTATTTTCTTGTTTTTACGAAAATGTTTCTGCACCTACAACTATGCAAATGATATCTCATTTTTAATTGTGCATTAATGTTAATTATAATGTTCACTATTACTCTTAATTATAATTGTGTTAAAAAAATATTCTTTTTGAAATTATAATTAAATATATAACAATCCGAATTCTCTAGACTTTACTAAAAACTATTATTGTAGATTTCTGTAGACAATTCCTGACACTTCAAAAACAAATTACAATAATCTTAATATTTTAATCGATGTCTTTTTAATTAAATTTCTAGTATCACTAATGCTTATTATTATATTAGGTTACATACTATAAACGTCATATTTTAATACAAAATTTTTTATGAATTATTGGATATCTTTGTAATGATATTTAATTGGTTTTTGAAAAATTTTTATAGTAATATTTAATATGTATAAAATAAATATATTTAATTATTAAAATTATACAATATCGACGTAATTCTTATGGCTTATAATGTATTAAAATATGATAATTAAAACAATGAAGACTGGAATACTCGAGTAACCTTATCTCTAATAAGTGAATAAATTCGAAGGGCATAAACAGAAATCAATAGCAAACTAACTTTAAGCTTTTCCTCTTGAATGTTCGAAGAAATTAGTATAATATTTATTCATTAAGAGTTTTATAAGAAATTTCTTTTTTTTCATCCAATAGATATTTAAAAATTTCTCGATAGTTTAATCGCAATCTGTAACATTGTAATTAGTATCTTTAAATCTTTGGATGTTAATGTTTCATCGAAATTGTAAAAACATAGATAT